GAAAAACAGGCCAGTTTTTGCTCATTTTTGCCCACTCCAGCCCCCCAGGAGCACTCTACAAGCCTCCTAAATGCTTTTTTTTTTTTTTTGACAAAAAGGACCATTTTTTTCTCTTTTGCCCACCCCCTCCCAGAACCCAGGAGCACTCTACAAGCCTCCTAAAGGATATGCATGCCCTTTTCTTGACAAAAAGGGCCCGTTTTTGCAAAAAACGGGCCGTTTTGGGAGGTCTGTAGAATGCAAAAACCTTTTTTTAAAATTTGCCTCTTCAAAATCTTGGTGCGCCTTATACTCGGTAAAATACGGTAACTGATTTTTAGCTGTAAATATAAAGCAAAGTAAACACTGAGAACATTAGATTCAACAAACTAATAAACTGGATTGGGCTATGGATGGGAGAATTTTAAATTATTAGGGGACAAGTGAAAATTATTTAGGCCATTGGACCATACCACCAGCAGTATTGGCAGCTACAATAAATTTGAATAAATATTTCTGAAATCATTACATAGATAAGTGAAGGTTCTTATACCAGGAATTTATGCCAATAGTTATATATGTTCAGTCAAATTTACTGAGATTTACTTTGTAAAAGAACTGCTGCCAATTTCTGCATCACTGTACATTCATTCCAGACTTTCTTCTTGATTTCTTTGTACTTTGTGGCATTCAGCTTTTTCGTGATTTTTTTTTTAATTTAAAAACTGACAGCAATTTGTTGTCTGCATTTTTAGAGTATGACTAAAACCTGACATAACAATGCATAGATTACACTTACTTTTCTTTCGCTGTGGCTCATAAGGGATCTGCTCCCATGGTTTTCTGCAAGTAAAGATAGTAGCGTATCATGGTATGCCCGTAGATCTCCAGAGGTGAATGCTAGAACTTGTTTGCCAAAGGAAAACCTCAACCAAAGGAGGTACTAAAAGCCTTTGGAAAACTTCTTCAAAGATAATATTTCAATAAGATTGTGATTCAGAGAGGAAAGGGATGGTAAGAAATAAGGAAATTATGCTTCTGAAGAGACCTAGTTTATACCCTAATAATCAGCACTCTCTTTTCTAACAGCCTCTATCAGAGCAACAAACAACTAAAAACAGAATTCAAACATGCTCTCGATTTCTCAGTTAGAGCAAATGCTAATGAGCAAACAAGGAGTCTATCAAGAACCATTACTTGATCTGGTATAATTTCCAGGTTGGAAATTATTGGATTGGTCTCTACATTTCAGAGTCTCCAGACCTATATATTACATTTCCAGAGAATATGTGCGTGCATTGCAAACCAAACTAAGGGCCGATCAGCCTGGCCTGAACAAAACAAATCAAAGCATTGATTATTGTTAATTTTAATTTTAATTCTTTTTTTAAAAAAAAATGTGTCATTGTCAATTTTAATTGGGTTTGGGGATATCCTATTTAATTTCTTTTTCACTTTTGCAGTATGTGTTTCCTTTAATGTTGTGCGCCGCCCTGAGTCCTTGGGAGAAGGGCGGCATATAAATCGAATAAACCTCAAACCTCATCATTTTTAGGAAATGTTTTAAAAGATTTGATAAGTAATTCTGGGTTGCACAAACATAGTGAAGATGGACAGTTTGATGGAGGCTGCAATATTCAAACTTGACAGTCAAATTATATTACTAGGCCCTCGCCCCCCCCCCCCCCGCCCCTTGTATGACCACGAGGCCTCCAGGGCTCTTCTCCCCCCCCCACACACCAACACACCCGTTGGCATCAGCCGCCTCGCCGCCTCCTCCTCCCTCGGCCCCTCCTGCCGACTCTCACCCGCGGCGCCCGGCCCGCTGTCCTCCTCGTTCCAGCTCCAGCAAATAAGCCGCCAGCTTGGCGTCACTCCAGCCACTGCGCTGCCTCAGCTCCACCCACGGGCCGTGAGCCTCGCCCAGGTAGACTCGCCGCTCGTCGTACTTCTTGCGGGATTCGAGGCGCCGTCGTACCCGGTCGGAGTCGGTGAGGCGCGGCCTACCCCGGGCTTTCCGCCCACCACGGACCTTCCGCCCACCCGGCGCGGTCTCGGCGTCCGCATCGTCCTCCTCCTCCTCCTCCTCCTCTTCCCCTTCGTCCTCGGGCTCCCCACCATCCTCCTCACCTGCGGCCGCCTCAGAAGCGCTCATCGCGGGGCCTCGCCGCCAGGGAGCCCGCCTTCCCGCGAAGCCTCGTCGCCCGCCGGGCGCGCGGTAGTGACGTCACCGGGCCGCCGCTCGATGGCTCGCCGCCTCGCCCGCTCGCGCCCCCTTCTGGCCGGAGGAAGGCTCTCCCTCCAGGGACTTCCCTCCAGGACGCAGAGAGCCGGCTCCAGATGCTGCTGCGATGTTAATATTTTGGGAGCACCACCGTTAGAGGAAAGAAAAGTGCAAGAGACTTACCGATTAAACAAGTTGCAAGGGCAACGATGCGGTTTTTTTTTCCCCTCTCTGCAGCCCTTCCTCCGGATCTTCAGGGTTCAAATGGAAACTCTCTGCCTATCTTTCTTCTGCATGGCATATATAGCAATAGCAATAGTTAGACTTATATAGCGCTTCATAGGGCTTTCAGCCCTCTCTAAGCGGTTTACAGAGTC